AAACTACTGAAAGTACCTTAAATAAACCTTGTTACATTTGTTTACTCCTGCATTCCCTTTTTGTTTATTTAAATGAGACTACAGCACACAATGTGGAAAAGGCAGGTCCAAGAAAATGGGAAAATGAAATTTGCAAAGAAACAGAGGACCAATCTTAATTGTTAGGGTCTGGGAATTAATAACTGAATATTTTATCCATTGTCTCATGTTGTCACTTATTTATCACACTCTTCTAAAGATTTTAGGATTCTTTTAACTGCCATCCAATAGACTCTTGTCTCCAATAGCTTCCGCTTAAGAAGACACATATGTCCTCTAGAGTTTCAAGAACAACTTTTGCTATTGATATGGTAATCGCAAGTGCACTGCTATTTAAAAGAAATACATACATTTTTATGTATTTTACTTAATTTTACTTGGTTCTTCAATCTACTTAATTTCCTTATTGACCCTATGCTCATATTTGGAAAAAAAAAAAAAAAGAAAACAAAACAGATTTTTTCTGAACCTGGCCATCTTCCTAGGTAAGAGCTGATTGACTTAAGGATTTCAGGACTGGGCCACAAGAGCTCACCTGTACTCAGGGAACCCAGATGGGCTCTGTGTGGCTTCCTGCCAGGAAGAGAATTCCTTTTCATGAAAGCGCGAAGCCTCCACAATTCCTCTCTCTTTCAAAGTCTTTTGTTAAAGAAAACTGAGCAGAAGTCAAAGCTAAAGAAAGTCATAGACAGAAACTTAGACCAGTACACACAGCACGTAAGTGCAAAATACTTTTTGACAAATAAAATATACTTCCACAGCAAGTTTCAGTTTCACTGAACTGGTGTTTTCTGACAAAAACAAATGTATTTTGGCCTATATCTGTAGCAATTTTATGTCTCTCTTTCCAGCCTGTATGAGGTGTTGCCAAAATTTTTCCCATTGCTTGCCTGTTTTCACCCATGTTACTCCTGGTTAATAGTAGTGGCTCACCTTTTTCTGCTCCCAGAGTTTGATGAGGTAGAAAGACTTAAACAAAGCAAAAAGAGATGTCTTAAGAAACCTGACTTCTGTGAGTATGGTGAGGGGCAGATTACAGTCTTTCCTTAAATTAGAAAATTAAACAGAAACTAATGCATGTCAAAGATCAAACAGGCAAGGAATAATCTGCTGCTGCAATTACTACCATCAGCGATTGATTCAGTTGATACTTTCCAAATACAATTTGACATCTCTTAAAAATTACAGCTAAACCAACAGAAACTAATTCCTGTTTTTCACAGGTGTCTATCAGGTTATAAACACACCTAACTTATTGGTTGTAATAAATGCATAACGGAAGGATATAGTTTAATACGAGCCATAGACCTTCCAAATCACCTGTGAAAATAAACTTAGAGTATTTCTGTCTGTCAGTAACAGTCCTGAAACATTTTGTGGCTTTTGAAAAATTAGATTTTTAGTGCTCTTGACCAAAGTATTTTTTTTTGACTCCCCTTATGATCTAGATGAGAATAGCCTAGTCATAGAAACATTTCTCCCAGACCATTTAAGAGCAGATCTACTGACTCATTCCATTGACCTAAATAGTATTGGACAGGACCAAACATTGTTTTCTCTTGATTTACTGAGATCCTATCTTTATGCATCGTGACAGAAAAGTGTTTTCTTCAGTTGTTTTTGAGTTGGGTTTTTTCTTTTCATTTTTCATTTAAATAAACTATTATGAGTTTATTTCAATATCTTGGTGCTACTCAGATTTTTTAAAATATTTGGAAAATTTCTGATATCATTTCAGATTGCTGCATACACAGTGCAATAATGCACAGAAGCAGTGGGAAAAAAAGGCAACTTCAGACAGCAAAAATTCTTGTAATGGGAGAATATAAATACAAATGCATAACTGAAATCACAAAGTCATGTTTTAACTATAGTACACCCAATCTTTCTTTATTAATTACAGAAATACCTTTCCTGTATGTCTTTCTGATTTTAGTAATAATAAAAGATCTCTAGCACCAAAATAATGGTATAGCATAGTCTTTATATAAGATTTATAGGGTTTAAAATGCTGTACTATTTTATATAAAAGGCCAAAAGCTAATGCATACTAAGTATGCAGGAAATAAAGAAGTCTAACTGAGATAGAACAAGTGGATACTTTTGACGTTTATCATTTGGTATACTGTCTTCACAGGAATATACAAGTCACTTGAGTTAAAATAAAATAGACCATTTCTGATTTGCTGGTAGGAAAGCTGGACAAAAACTGATGTAACAAATACTGAAGAAGGTCAAAGTTGCAACATAGAAAACTTCTTTTAGCATTGTTTGAAACAACACTGGACACATTCAAAGTTAAAGTACAGGAAAATAACATGTACCATACTTTGGTTATAAACTTTTGCTCTAGGCTGAAACTTGGCATAGAAAGTTTCAGCACAGCATGATCATTCTCTTGTAATTACTGAATTAAATTTAAATTACTCTCAAACAAACCATCTTCCCTCAGAAACTTTCATACACTTTCGTTCTTTCCTATTACTTAAATATCAGGGTTTTTTTCTTTTATAAAACAAGAAATTGTGCATATCCTTTAATAAGTTTTTCAGTGCTATGACAAAAAAATCGCCTATTAAAGAAAAGAGGGGTTTTTTTACTGTATCTTACTAGATTTTCTTTTTCTGAAGGAGAAAATGTGTAATCAAAAATTGTGAAGTTACAACTTCCAAACATACTTGACTAGTTAAGATGGGGCCAAAAGCTGTCTAAGGAAATACCAACACTGATTAAAAGCAATAGAAATCTGAGGACATACTTAACATTTCTTATCAAATGCTCCTGCATTTTAGAAGCAAACTACTACATCTTGCACTGGCAGAATAGAAATACTGAAGCCTACCTCCACTAGAGCCCTACCTCCACTAGGAATCTCAGCTCCCAGAGCAATGGTGAGCAGCAGTCACTGAGACAGGACGCTGTTTCCTATACAAGACCAGGCCTGGAGCCCCAAACAAACCTCATATGCTGGGAAACTGCTGGAAACTGAGACTTACAGAAAGGATTTTCATTTTATTATAATCTGTGTAAGATAATTAGAACCGTTAAAATTTAGGAAAAGGTCTGTTAGAAAAAAAAATAATTAGAGATGCCACAGCTTTAAACAGTTAAGTTGTAACAGTTGTTGAAAAAAAAACACACACCAGTATAATGGTGAAGCATCATATTAATTTCACCAAAAATATTGGCTAATATAAACCTGCATGGCAGGTTTCTCCTTCCTTTCCTTCTCTTTTCTTATATGCCCTTGCCCTTGAGAGCAGGAAATCTGCTAATACATGGTGTAAGCCTATTTCCATTTTGACATAATTTTTGACCTTAAAGCATGATTTCAACATATTTCTACTGATTTCAGCTGTCCTACAAAATCAACAATTTCAACATTAAGAATAATTTCCCTTGTAAACAAAGATCTATGATTGGATCAACTGGATCGGTACAGAAGATCCATTGTTTTACTACTGGCACAATAATTTAGTAGTAAGAAGTGCTTATCTTTTCACTGAGACTGAAATTCATTCTTGTTTAGGCTAGTGTCTAAACTTGGCACATTGCACATATGCTATGGAAATTCCTTTTAAGCCCTATGAAGGATTTAGCACTTTAGAGAGATGTAGGCGACTCATAAGCCTCTGAAATTCACTCTAGAAACTTTAGATGCAGACTGTGGCACCAGTGCAGAGTCTCGTTGAGTTACTGCTATGCAGCAGAACATTAGAAACCTCTCAACCAAGGAAAAAATGGCTTCAGACTGTAGAGAAGACATAGATGAGGCATATAATATTTCTTTGTCGCAAAACACAGTAAAACCAGTCTGGGGAACCTAAGGCATGGTCAAAGAAACTTTGCTACCATGCTATTCAGAGTATTCATTTGGCATAATTTCAGTGTTCAAATTTGTTCAAAACATTTTTACAAGCTCAATTGTGTATTGCTACAGTTTATGCCAGTTCTCATGATGTGTGTGACATCAGACATGTATTAATGATTTTAGAATGTGCTCAACAGAAGTGAAATTTCAGCAAGAGTTTTGCTATTGGGTCACTGTAAGTAGCTCCACACCCCCCCCCCCCCCCCCCCCGTTGTTTTTTTTTTAAGGAAAGACACAGAAAAGAGAAAATAAAAACTGTAATTTAAGAAACACAATCACCTAAAATAGCAGAAAAAGAAAAAAAATTGCCTTCCAAGAGAATTTTCCTATAGATCGCATAACGAACTACAGAGGGAAAAAGGCATCTGTAGAGTCAGAATAATCAAAGTGTTGCAGAGATAATTAGCCCACAGCCCACCAGGGGCTACTGAGAAATATGTTACTGACATATACTATGGGATACCTTTAAACACCTCTACGGTAGTGCGAGGGAGAAGGCAGAATGGTCTTCAACTACCTGAGAAGTGTGGGAAACTACTTACTAATTACAGTGTGTTAATTGTTTACATATGTAAACTAGATATGGTCTATGCACTCACAAAATACAAACAAATAGGTACAGTCATAAACAAATAGCCATCAGACAATCAAAGAGCATTTTTCATCTGAGAATTACTTGCACTAAAAAGGAAACAATATCTGACTTCTGTTGTAACTCTAAATAATCTTTAAGAAACGCAGGGGTTTGGCTATTTTTCCCTAAAATGTTTATCTTAGAAATGAAATCAGTTTCAGTATCTGCCAGAAATGTTTAATAAGCTGCAAGATAGGAAAATACAGTATTAAAATAGCAAAAAGTTTTGACTCCTTACAGTTAACTTTTTTTTTAAATCTAATTGGTACCAACTGGCCTCATTGCTTCTTATAAACCTAGCAATATATATTCAGAAAAAGGAATAAAAATGAACAGATGTTTCTCCTTAAAGAAGTCAGACAAAGATTTTTCTTACACAATAAATCAGCTGCTAGTGGATTTCCAGGACACCACTCCAGGCTAACTGTTTAGGTATTGCTTAAAAACCTGGTTTACCTCTGTATGTATCCAAAACTGGTAAAGCAGATTAAACTGTAGATGAACAGCAAACACTGAAGGGGGAATGAAAAGAGCCATGGGCAAGTTGAAAATCTGAAAAAGAGAAAGAAAATATATATTAGACACATAATTCTAAATTTATAATGATATAACAAAGTACTATCTCAGGAGTGCAAAGCACTGCACAAGATAATTGCTTCTTCTGATATCTCCATAATGTAGACATTACACAGAATAGACAATGATTATTACGTTACTACTAGATGTGCTATAGCATATGAGACATAAATTGATGCAAAAGTGATTTCCCAACAGTTGTACTGAGCAAGTAGAAAAATCAAGAAAATAACTCAGAAATCCTGAGATTAGATGTTTATTCTGTATACTGTATGGAGCAGACAGCAACATATCCTCGACATGAAGGGTTCACTTATAGGGGACACTTATCACAAAGTAAGCAAGATGTGAATTTGTAACACTATAGCTTTTGCATCCAAACTCCCTCATGAGCACCATAAGGGCAAGGCAGCTTACTTGGCTTTCAAAGTTAATTATAAATTCTCACCCTAACTTCCTCAAAGCATCTCCCTTGAAGCTGCAATATATTGCTGACTTCTAAAGATGTGCTAGCAGGAAAACAGTTTCAGAAAACTGCTTACTTAGGAAAGACACAGGTATCTTACATACAGAGTAAAGTCCCAGGAATTTCACAATTAATCGCTTAACTGGTTGAGCAATAGAATAAGACTTCCAAGACCTTCACGTGTTAAAGGTCGGCCTCCTTTCTTCAGAAGGCTTATCTTTTTTTATTCTTTTCTTCTACCTGACATTGTGTTATACCAGCTGCATTAAGAAGTTAATTCTTTCTTAAAATATGGAGAATTTTTTCTAAACCAAACGGTAGTGGAGGTATCTTCAAAACTTTAAGTCTCTTTAGGACTCAGGGAAAATCTGGGTAGCAGGCAAGAGCTCCCTGTGAAACACAGCAAAATTAGCAAAATCCGTTTTCAAATTCCTATTGTCCTTCTCACAAAAATCAACCTTTAAACATCACAGAAAACAATGTGATAGCCATGACAGACCTCCTGAGCCAGGAATTCATTTAGTGCATGTCTGCACATACCATTTAATGCCGATAGTCTCTCAGTTTTTGTCAAAAGGCCTACCCAATAGATATGATGTCACACTGGGGTTGTGAAACAACTGCAGCTCCAGCCCCATGATGCGACTGATGCTCTCGAGAAAGTCACCACAGCCATATCTCATTGTCATGACACAATGGAGGACTAAGGCCCTGCAATCCCAGCTTGGTCTGCTGGCTTCCAACACCCGACAACAACTGAAGCACTAGACAGAAACCGTTAAGTCAGTGCAGTATCACCTGGCAGGGCTGGGACAGCTGTGATTTCAAAAACTAGATTCAGAGGCTTCAGGGATCACAGCTGCCCCACAAACTACATGTGGGGCATTTCTGGTCAAATGTTTTGGAAGTTCTTTTCCAAGAAGTAAAGGAATTCAAAGGTGGTAGAAGGATTATGCTGAGCTTCTGGAACTTGGGGGAAATAATGTAAACAGCTATTTTGTTTTAATCAGTCCGAAAGGCTAAAGTGTTTGCATAACATTTATAAAACAAAAAAGAAAGAAAAATATATTTGGAAGGTGAAATTTGCATATTCAGTCCCTAAGAATCATTCAGTCTAAGTGAACCCACAAAAATTCACAGTAACTCTCACCTAAGGTGGTAGCTAGTAAATGCTGTGAGGGGGGATGTGGCATTTAGGCATGAAATTCTGGAGCAGAGGTGGGCATGAAATTTCTTCAAGAATTAAAAACACAGATCAGACTGCCTTACGCAAAAGACTACTAAACACAAGAGTGACTTTCAAACCCACAATTCTCCATGCTCTGAAAGAGAAATGTAGTGCAAGCCTCCCATACTGTAGAAGAAACACTCTAAACACTGGTATGGAGTCAATCTCTTTTCTGACTTCCTTTTTCCTCCTTCCTCTAACTTGAACCCTCTTAGTATTTAATTATTAAAAGAGGGCGAGCTACAAAAGAAAAAAAAGAGACCACGAGATATTTGTCCACAATAGCCAGAAGGCTGGCATGGTTTTTCTCAAAGATTATCTTACAAAGAAACCAACAAAGGACTAGGACACACCGCCACATTTAGGTAAAGCTACTGCAGTTTTCTCTTATTATTGATTGTACCTGTCTAACGGCATGATAAGAACAGGAAATTTTTTAAAAGGAATAGAGAGGAAGTTGATTTTTAAAAAAAGAAACAAACCAGATGGTTTTCAAATTATTCATGGAAGTGGTTGCAGGACTGAAAGTAGGGTTAAAAATTATAGAATATAACATATATAGAATAATATATAGAGAATATATATAGAGAGAATATAATCTAGAATACTAGAAGTATTAGAGGCAATTTGGTCGTATTTACAGATGACTCAGAGGGGAAGGAAGGATCATCTTCATATTTATTTTCTAACCTATTTCTCACAATGAGTACTAGGATTTTGCTGCTAAGTGGTGAGATGAGGGAAATTTTATATAAATCTACAGGTAAATTTGAGATTGAGAAAGGAGAATACTATCCTAACTGCCTCATGTTTCATTGTGATATAAGCTTTATTTTGCACAGAAAGGATTTCAAAGATCATTTACAGAAGTAGAACCCATAGGGAGGAATGAAAACCTCTCCCATACAAAAGATTTGGTTTCTTCTATTTGTGGTTCCACTGAAACAACAAGACAAATGTCAGGAAAAAAACCCAAAATCATTAAATAGTTTTTCACTAGAAATGCCAGTTCACCAAATCAAAACATTTCATCAGAATGTACCAGCTTTCACTAATCTGTAGAGGAAAAGCTTTCCTGGCTCCAAGATGGAATTTCTGGTCAAAATTGCAGAAAAACGTTTATCACACTCACAGATCTTTTCCCACGTGTGGATTCAGCAACAGAGATTGAGAGCGCGCCACAATAACTGATAACCTGATGGGAAAGGCACTCAGCGAGGGGGTGGAGGGGGATTCATCTCTGGGGCTGCTGCACTGCAGCTGTGCGCCTTCACACTTACGGCATGGCCCCTTTTGAAGGGTGCGTGTCCGCCGCACGCTCTCTGACGTGGGCGTGCTCTGCCTTTCTCCCTCTCACTTGTAAGTGAAAGCTTATAAATGCTTCCACTACAGAAAGGGAAAAATTGGAAACTCCTGAGGTTTAGCTGAGTTTCCTGTGTTGAGTCCCTCTGTTTCCAGGCCGGGTCTGTGGGGCCACCTGCTGATGCGGGCGACTCTGGCCGGCAGGCCACTGAGGGGCCGCCGCCACCAGCTAGTTCATGGGGGCTATGCTTCTGTGAGGATTCTGCAGGGGCTAAATGTAGGGGGGGAAAAAAAAAAAAAAAAACCACCACGGAAAAAAACCCACCCAAACATCCCTTACAGATCCCAGACCTGGCAGACTCCTCAGTAGGTAAGAAGTGAACTTTGTGACTCTGTGCTGAAAAGAACAGTGCTACCTATTCCCTTTCCAGCTTTACACATAGATGTTTCCACTGCTTTTAATCCATCAAGGCATAATTCAGCCCTTTATCTAAATGTATAGTCTAAAGCTATCAAATTATTGTGGATCTAATATTTGCAATCAAACCTTACCCTTGAGGAAAGTTAAGAACTGGTACTCAAAGAATTAAATCATAGATTTTCAAGAAGTATATGCAACTCTCTCCTTTCACAATTACACTTTAACTAAGTGTTTAATCAGAAGCAAAAATTTATATAGCATTAGCTTGCTGATTCCTTCTTAAAAATGAATATACATTTTTTTTCCTGCATCTTTTTCCCACAAAATGGGCTTCAAAACTATCTCTCAGTCTTAACAGTAGGTCTGCTTCTCTATGGCCCCTCCACGGGAGTAACAGACACACTGTGTGTGCAAACGACATGAAGCAATACACATTTTGTTCCAAGTTCAGGAGTACATCTCACACCACTGATTGTACTTCAAGCATGTTTTTCTCTTCTCTTGCATTTCACATCTTTTCAATCAGCTTGAGCACAACCCACACAGATTAATATGCTGATTTATTTATCTTGTAATGTTTAACTTAAAACACATACAGAGCTGGCAGCAGAACAGTCCCACAGTCCCACACCATTCACCACAACTTTCTCACAGCCTCCACAAAACCGGATGTCAAACTGCATTCAACATGACACATTCAGCAACATCAGATCACTCTCAGAGATTAACTAAAGGCTTCACTGAGTTTTGTCTTTGAGACAGATCCATCCACAGGGTTCTGGACAAGTCTGGCAGTCCAAAGAAATAACAATGCCATAAGAATTAGCAAGAATTGTGTTCATGCACAGTAAGACTTTGGAGAAAGAAAACTGGTATATCTCTCAAGAGTCCTGGAGGAAGGTAAATGAGTATTTACACTAACCAAATGTTTTGGCTAGTATCAAATATTTGGTGAAAAAAACACTGGACACAAAAGTATTATGGATTCCTAGGTTCATTTCCCTTTGCTTAAAGCAAATGAATTCTAAATGTACATAAATCATTTGCCAATTGATACCAGTGTGGACCTGAGGATGGTCTTCAGAACCTAAGGTGGCCAGACACCTTGGCCTTCCTGAATATTTTATGCTCTCTGAGGCATCATCCTCAAAATCATGCAGACACGCAAAGTGTTCATGCACACACCCATATGTACACACGGGCTTTTGTCTCTTTTGAATTATTTTTGTTACGCATTTGCACATATGGTCCCAATGGGTAAATGTGCAAAGGTTAAATCTTTAACATGGCAATATTTACATAGGAAGCAGAGTTGTGACAGAAATGCATCCCTTCCGCTATTGTTCATTATGGTCATTTAAATTTGAGGCACTCCTACTAACATCAGATTATTATTTTCTGAATTAAAAAAACCCAAGAATTTACACAGAAGACTTTAAGAAACAATTCTAGAGAAATAGTATCTGTTTCATGATTTGCAGAAGAACTAGTCTTTTTTTGGAACCTAGTGCTTTAACTCATTTAATATCATGGGCTTAAAACAGTTATGAACAACAGGCTAAGTCCATGCTCAGTTATGTGAGAGCTTTACTTAAGTTATGTGAGAACTTTACTGAAGTTAACAGAGTTACACTGGATTTGCATGTGTGAGCACACACTCTTGGCTTTGAGTCATTTGCTCATTAGCTAGTTATAGAGATTGCCAGAGGACTGTGGGTTTCCTTCACCACCAGTATTATACCTCATTGGAGAAGAGCATTTATATATTTTATATATACAAAAATACATTGCTTTTGAACTCTAATTCTGAAAATTCAAATTTGGAACTTATTCTTTAAAAAAAAAAAAAAAAAACACAACCAAACCAAACTACAATCTGAATTAAAAAATAGAGCCAAAAGAGAACATGACAGAGAAACTGATGAAATTAGCAGTTATCCTGGGCCTAAAACTAAACACTGAATAGTATGTTACATTTATGACTGTACTTGAAAATATACATTTTTAAATCTGTAAATGGGTACTCATCTTAATTCATATTGCATATGTACATAGCTCACCATTTAAAATAAATTATATGTGAAATAACACTAGGTAAAAGTAGTGGCATACTGCCCTTACTTACTGGAGTATTGACATATGACATGAATAAGCAGAGACAAATAAATACATTTGCATGTCCAAAGCAATGATTTCTCTCCCTGCTCCTTTCAGTTATATAGACATATTCTAGAGTAGTTATGTTATACTCTAGCCTCTTCCTCTACTTCATGCATGAATAACTGAATGAAAAAAAAAATTGTCTCATTTTGCTCAGTTATGAAAATATAAATGCAGAGTTATAATTACCCTTCTTAAACTTAACTACTGTATCTCTTTTCAAGTTTGCTGTATAAACATTAATGAATGTATTTTTAAAGCTTATGATTCTCAAATTCTTCAGTTTCAACTTCTGTGCTTTCAGTGTCAAGTATCTTTAAAAAAATCTAGGTTTTTCTTCAAAGGGAAATAAACACTATGTTTTCACTTTTACTAAATCTTGTTGATATTAATTTGTTTATCAAATCTTGTGCAACTTACCCAAGAGGTGTATTTCTGCAGTATGGATTGTCTCAAGGCTGTGAATAAGTTGTAATCTTCAGAACTATGATGTACTTGGTGCGCTGCCCACAGTATATTAACCTCTGCAAAACACGTAATTTCTAATGAGGCATGTACTAGAGAACAAAGTAACAATAAAGTAACATCTGTTTCCCAAGGCCTTTTCTTAAGCTAAAAGCAACTAATCCCCCAGTTTACACTCTGCTATTTCACCGCAGTATAGAGGTACTAAAATGTCATGCTCAGAACCAAGTTTGGGTAGGCTGGGTTAGATGCCAGTAAGTGGACCCAAGTCAGTGTAAATTTCATGCTCAGGAAGGCAAGGCTGTGGCAGGAACTAAAATAATTGCTGGAAGAGCAGAAGGATGTGCGAGATGAGACTTAAACAGCCAGAAAGCCTGAGCTGAGTCCTGATAACATGAGTCAGTAGGAGTTCTGTTACAAGGGTTCAGAGGGACAAGGACTCAGGATGCTTTCATGCCTGCATTTGTTTACTGAAGTTATATTTCAGGACTAGAAGGGGACATAAAATGTTCCAAAAATCTTATGCTTCAAATTTAAACAACTTAACTAGTGTCTGCTGTTATGCTTACAGTTTGCTGGAATACGTAAATCTTCAAGCCCACTTATACCACAAAACACAACCATTGCCTGCCCACTAGTGACAAATGGAAAAACAAATGGCCACTTGCTGGGAACTCTGGACCCAGCCAAAGGAGAGCAGTGGCTCTGTTGTGTTATAGTTCAAAAAATATTTGTTGGAACAAGGGCAAAACCAGTGTCAGCCATGTCCTGTGAAGGCATGACACCTCTAACGCACTGCAGTGAGGAAGAATACTTCAAAATCCTGATTGTATTTCAAGGTATTTTCTCACTAAGTGCAGCTCTGCATCTCCCTTTGCATTGGATAGTGATCTCTGGCCAGTCTTAAGTGCGAGGTTAAGATAGAAATGTTCATGGCCATCAGATGTATAGCCATGAGGCTGACTTTAATTACAGCAAAATGAGAAAGTGGGTGGTTAATGCAGCCCAAATAATGCCTATTTAACGTTATAAATATAAATTTAAGGTCACATGTATTCAAGGGATGAAGTATACACGAAGTCTCAGCTGATTACAGAAATTAAAAGGTAAGTGGATGGCTGCCAGCTGCACACTCCCATTGCCACCAACTTGTTTCACCAGAGCAATTAGAGAAGTGCCTTCGGCAGATACTCGAATCACATTCACAGAATGATCTTATAACGTGTATTTAAAGTCATGAAATTATCTGGTGCCAAGCTTACATCAAACACTTTGTGTCTAGTGATTAACATGTACTTGCAATGTAAAGTAAGACCAAAAAAACCCTCTTAATGAATCTCAAGGTGCCTTAACCATTTAGAGGGACTGGATAGTCTGGTAACAGGAGGTAACAGTCTTGTATGCTAGAAAATGAGAATTTTAAATCTAATGAATTTTGACAGTTTGGTAATTTATATGACAACATCGTTCTTGAATGTCCTCCAAGTTCTTGAAAATCCTTACAATTGATGAATTAAAACTGTAATTTCAGCTATCATAAACCACTTAACACTCAATCTGAGAATTCTTCCTTCTTTAAATGCATTTGTTCCTGAAGGAACAAGTGTTCACTATATCAAGAATTAGTGATCTCTCTCTCAAAAAAAAAAAAAAAACAAACCACCCCAACAACATCTTAATGCATCTCTGCCTAATGAGCTCACTAGGAGACAAATTATTCAGGTGAGCTTCAGTACTCAATAATAGTTTGTATTTGAAATGTTTCCCAAGACCTCGACAGAAGCTAAATGAGTGAACAAAGCATCTGAAAAGGTGGAGGTTAAAGACCTGTCTCCTTAGTTGTTTTAAAAGCATTTACTTCCTATCACAAACTGTGTGTAACACAAGCCTCCGCTCAATGAAGTACAGCTGTACAAACAGGGTACAGTAACTGGATCTTGCTTCTTTCCCTCAGTCATTTTTCAGCATTGTGAAAAGTTCAAGGAAGGGAATCTATGATGATTTTTACAGTCTACTTTCATTGTAGTTAAGGTCAAATGGTTTTCAAAATGAATTACTAAAAAGGCATTTTATTAGCATTCATTTTTCAGTTAAAGTGCCTGTTACACTAACAAGAATATAGAATAATGTAACTTAATATTGGTAAAGTGTTAATCTCTGATGTGTGAGTCAACTTAAATGCTCTATCATTCAAAAATATACCACAGGAATATTAGGGACATAAACAAACAATTCTGTCACAAGTAATTTAACTGCTAAAGCTATTTCTGACTTCTGTTACAGCTAAGTAAACAAAATCCTGCTCCTAAATGCTATTCCTGTTGACATCAGTGGCACAGACTATGTTAAATTCCTTGGCAAAATAGGCAGAGTTGATGATCGGAAATAATTTTTGTCCTAAACATTTATCTGAAGAAACTGATAGTCAATAACTTTTCATTTGAAGCAGAAGAATAACATCATGAGTAAATGTGAAATGGATCACCCCAAAACTCAGTCTGTAACCATTAGTACATTAAAAATATTACAATCATAACACCTAAAAGACATCTCAGAAATGTAAGAAACAGACCGAGCACTCATCAAGGAATACAGCTGACTGCTCACCAACTACCTGTGACAGAAACGAAAAAGTATGTGTCTACAGAAGAGTTGTGGTTTCACTTTTTCATTCATAATGGCGTTAACTTGAAGCAAAATGAGAGAAGTTATTTGAATGAGAACGAAATTATAAAACACTGCCTCACATCCACCATCTCACACTTATTATTACATAATGACTTAAAAAGAGAGCAAGACCGAGTTATGGCCAATTCCAACACAGTTTTGTTTCAAAATTTATGTAGAAAGCAGGAAGTAATACTGTATTTTGTAGATCTCATCAGTTCAAATTCTCCTGTGAAGCCACAAGAAAAAAGTAGGTGATGGAATGGAGAAGTCACCCAGACAATGCTCTAATGGAATTTTTAATGTTTCCTAAGTCAAATGTGATTGGTAAATTAAAAAAAATTACGTAACTGAAATACACATAGGCACAAACCCACTGTTCTTGCTTCAGGAGAGTGAATATCATAAAATCAAAGGATAATTCAGACTGGAGAGGACTGCAGGAGTTCTCTAGTCCAACCTCCTGCTCACAGCCGGACCAGCTATGAAGTTTCTGAGTGCTTCATGCAGTTGGGTCTTGAAACTTTTCTGCATCTTCTGCTATAGTGGAGAACTATTTCTAGTAGAAGATAAAGGTGGCATTTCCATTTTGCGTATTTGTGAGGGAAGTTACACAAATTATAACTTAGCATAGCAAAGGCCTCCTTTCCTGGTGTGCTTTCCTTGGGTTTCTTTTAATGGGTACAATTTGGACCTGAGGAAGAACAGAACAACTATGTCTTGCTACTCGAGTTAATTAATACATTATTCTTATCATTGTACAGAATCAATTAATATCTTCTTCTGTCACCCAGTATAAACTGTAAAAGAATCAGCATGTAAACTCAGAAGAGAACGAATGGTGTCACCTAGACAGGTGAGGAAGGAAAGAAAATTGGTGGCACACAGGAATTGCTGTATGGTGAGTAGGTTATCATCTGGTCCTCAGTTTTCACTCTAGCTCTTTAAGTCTCCATGAAGTTATCTCAGACTCAGACCTGCAGTTGCCAAAATCACAGGGCTCCGAGCAGTTGAGAGATTTGTATCCCAATACTAATTCTAAAGGGAAATGAACATTCGTCTTTTTTAGCATTAGTCCAATATATGAAGTCTAGTGATAGAAAAGAGAAAATGAGAGGCTGAGGGAACTGGCTTACAGAAGAGAAGGCTTTGGGGGACTTAATAGTAGCCTTGCAGCACCAATGAAGCATCAATTATCAAGAAGCTGGAGTTAGGCTTTTTGAAGCAGTCCCACTTAATCTTCTTTTCTGAGTTTTCCAAAAGAAAGAAAGATTAATGATGTTATTAATGATGTTTCTTTTCTGCTTCTTCCCTCCATCCTCCTCCTAATTAATATATAAAAATGTAATGTTTCACACACCATCACAACCATATTGGTACAGCAGCCAATGATTTCACTTAGCCTTAATTTTTTTCTACTTCAGATTTATTTTTTTAGCTTTAATTGAATCCCTTTCTATGAGATTCAAAGACAGATCCAATGTCTGGGCCACATTTCACTACTCCTGAAGTATCTTCCTTGTGGTGGTAGAAAACGGTCTTCATACACATAAGATTTCATCTAAGAATACATAATGTGTAAAGTTCAAAATGACACTTTGTTGTTGTTCATTTCTGTAGCTTTCAGTGATTTCCACAGCTCACCACATTTTGATTAACAACAGGAGGAAATATATATGCCAAAAATACCTGCAGTCATTTCAAGGAGTGATGTCAATGAAAACAATCATTTTACACAATCCTCAAAATTGGTGAAATGGTAAAGATTTGATGAGTCTTTAGTGAATAAAAAAAAAGATTAGATACCACCTTTTAATTAAAAGGTGGTAATTTGTTTGCACACAGATTTATAAGACCTGGATCTAAAGTAAAGTTGAAAGAAAACTACAGATGGTTTAGAAATATGTCCATACGATGAGTCACGTAAAGTTCACATTCTCTTTCAATGTTGACTGTAGCTAGGAGAACAGGTGAAAGTTTCCCCTCAGCATCTACTTAAATTTAAACAAAACCTTCAGTTTGACCGTGCTTGCCATCTCTTACAAGGTTAGATACCTTCAGTTTTCAGTGAGGAACGGAACTACATTTTACCTAGCTAGAAACTTAGGAGATTACGTCTACTGTGCCACAGATAACCATGTTATGATGAACTCCACAAAGACAAGCATGTGGCAAGAAACCCCTCATCCATGGTGTGGTCCCTGCTGACCACAGTGTGGAAACTGCTCCTTCCTAGAGCAGCTGTAACCTGCAATGTTTCAGAAGCAGGTACTCTGTGCTATGTTCGGCTACAAGCACTAGAAAAAGGATCATCTCATGAGTCTACTTCTCTCCAGTCAGAATTAGTAGGAACTCCAGGATGACGGAGGAAAGAAAAATGGACTGGAAGGTA